AAGAGGGTTCTGTGGCCCAGATTTCAGCATGATGTAGAAAATCATGCTTGCAGGAAAAATCCAGTGCTAGGAATCCTGTGTACTCCTGTGGGTGTGTAACCACCATCTAATGAACCAGAAAAGTCAGATTGTTTTTAAAAACACACCGCAGCTGGAATTCCTTGTTCATGCTTAATCTCAAATATCAAAATCAAAATTAATGTTTTGCATACAGAGCTTCAGGTCTATTGAATTAATCCTACAATAGTCATTCATTAATAAGCTCAAGTCAGAAGCATTAGAGGTAAAGGGAAAATAGTTTGCAAAACCAGTAACACAACGGATTGGGGAGCTGGGTTCTGATAGTTTCAACTGGACCAAAAAAAAAAAAAAAGAAGGAAAGAAAGAAAGAAAACTGCAACTCCAGATGTATTATCATTTGTGACATGGCTCAAGATGGGAGACTGTGAGGAGAGTGAAGATGACAGAACTGGTGCTAACCACTGTGACAAGAACTTGAAGAGCAGCCGACGTGACATCTTTCCTATCATGCTGCCGAAAATGTCAACTTTGTGAAGGACAGTGAGAAAATGGTTTGCCAAAAACTTGAAAGGTGGATTCCGGAGATGCCCGCCGTGTCACATGCGATATAGTCTGCTGGGGCCTGAGAGACCCACTTCTGGCTCCAGAGATGGCCTCCAGGTGGAAGACCTTCCGGTCTTCAGCCAGGCTCCAAAAATGACGGCGCTTGACCTGCATATTGTCTCAAGTTTGCAGGATCATGATATACAAGAAGTGAGTTGTTAGCCAGTGTGCAGTTAGGTGGAACCAGAGACCAGGGGCTGTGTGGACGTGGTGTGAGTGCTTGTTCCTAAAGCTAGATTCAAAGACGTCCACGGGTCTAGTAAAACTCAGGTGCCTAGGGAAGGAGGGAATGTGTGCTTTGGGGACTTACATCAGCAACAGAAAGGAATTCTGGATAATCTAAGCAAAAGCTAGTTGATCGGGATGATTGCCAAGTATCTCCAAGGAAAGGAGCAGAAAACTGGAATTAAGGCAGTCACCAAAGAGCAAGAAGCAGGACCCAAGCAGTGGTTCTGTGTTTAAACAACCTGGGAATCTTCTACAGACAGGCTGAATTGAAACATTGGGGAAATCCTTTCCTGGCTCCAAGGGACAGTTAGAGGTCAAGGCCCAGCTGTGGGCCACACAAATTCTGCCTGTTCCATCTGCCTTGGCCTCACTCAGGGTAAAGATTCAGAAGAAGGTACAGGTGGCTGATCTTGGAGTCATTCCAGCTTAGGTGGATAGTGACCGTAAAAGGGAAGAGCTGGCCCCTAGGGAGCCCTTAAGTATTAGTAATGGGCAGCAGACCCCTAGGGTACCCACAGTGTGGCTGAGGGCATTCCTCCAAACTTAGGAGCCATTAGAATGTGGCAATGGATGCTAAGAAGCCAAAGCCCAGAACATGCACACTCAGCCACGAGAGAAGAGACCTCCAGGCCCTGAACCGTGTCTTCTGCATAGACACTTCTCAGCCCAGAGTTTCCTAGCTAGAAGTTTAAAATCCAGCTTCATCCCTCTTCTTCTCTCATTTTTTGTGACTCCATGAATGTTAAAAATATTGAAAAAAGGAACAGCGCACAGAGCCAGTTTTATGACAATTATAGAAACACCCCCAAATGTTTCCAGGAAGAAAACAAAAACCGAAAAATACAAAAGCCTGGCCCCTGAGAAACACCCATTTCAGTTCTACCATTGCTATTTATTTTGCTGCCGGCGCTGCTTGGATGGTACCCGGGGAACAGTGCAGATGCCAGTTTTGCAAGGGATGAATAAGTGGACCATGTACCTCCAGTGGAAGATTCTGGTTCCAAATCCATCCCAGTCTTAGGGAAGTTCAGAAACCTGAATCAAATGGACCCTTTCAGCAGCTGGAAGAGCCTGCTCTGAGTTTGCTTGTTTGTTCCTCTAGAACTGTGGTTCTCAGCGTGTGGTCCTGGAACTCTAAGACCAAAGAAGCTGCTGGCAATGCACATTCTCAGGCTCAGACCCACTGATTCAGAAACTCTGGGGTGGGGCCAAGTGATCGGAGCTGTTGCAAGCCCTCCGGGGGATGCAGGGGATGCCAAGACTTGCTTTTGTTAGAGAACCACTGTTCTAGTAAAACTACTTATGGCTTCTATGGCAAACAGTGCTCCCCCAAAATATTGTACCAGGATTTTTCAATAAGTAGTCCTTTCAAGGCCTAATCAAACCTGCACAATGAACCTTGACCAATGATATGAAGTCAGTGGAAAAGAAATGAATGTCTGACAGAGTTTTTAAAATAATTACATGAAACCAAACAAAACAGGGAAAGTTTTGTTTTTAAACTGGTATGGTTACAACCTGTGGTCTTTGACCAATTGATTTCCTTAGAGTGGCGGGGCGGGGGTGTCTCCTCCTCAGTTCACGAAACAGCATTTTCCTGTTCCCAATACCATTTCAGAGCAACCCTGGCAATTACAAACAAATTTGCATTCGATGTCAGCATTGAGATTTGTTTTATCACCTGTTTTTGCTGGCGAGCTCTGTACGACGTGCTCTACAGATTTAATGAGATTGGGTTGTTTTATTTATGTTAAAATAAAACTATTCACACCGACATAGGTGATCAAGGAGCAAATTAAGGAGGCTACAACAGTAAATTGGTAGTTGTTTACTTTTTCCAAGAGTGACATGAAGGCTGTAGAAAGTAGTCTGCAGAGAGGGTGATATGGGAAGCAGAAGCTTCTGTCCAATACCTTAATAATTACAAATGCAATCTTAATAACAAAAGGCAGAAAACACAATCACATTTCACATTTGCAATAATATCCTTTGTAGTGAGAATGAGCTGAGAAGTGAGGTACATGTAAATGTTCAGTTTTTATCATCTCACACACACAAATGAAATAGCTGCCTGCCTCAGAAGGGTAATGAATGATTTGATTCACAGAGAGTTTGATCTTCTAATAATGGCTCCAGACATCTCTGGACTGTCCATGGAAATTGGTTTCCATGCTTTGGTTGTGGTCTAGAAGCCCCTCCCTGAATTATAAATTAATATCATTTTTCTCTGGGTTAATTCCACACTAAGAAATGCAATGATTTGTTGTTGTTTGGGGATTTGTTTGTTTGTTTGTTTGGTTACTACTGGGGATTGAACTCAGGGGCACTCAACCACTGAGCCACATCCTCAGCTCTATTTTGTATTTTATTAGAGACAAGGTCTCACTGAGTTGCTTAGCACCTCACTTTTGCTGAGGCTGGCTTTGAACTCGTGATCCTCCTGCCTCAGCCTCCCGAGCTGCTGGGAAAATGAAATTATTTGAATGACCCCTTTGTCCCCAGTTAAGTGTGTGCTTATACATGCCAATCATGGTATGTTCAATGCATTAGCAAACTGAATTTTGGGTAAACAAAACTCAAAGGCCAGGGCTAAAGTAAATTATAACTTAGAAACATGAGAAGTTACCAAGGAAAGTGAAGCATGCATTTTGCAAGGACTAATGGGGGTCCCCCTGAGATTTAAGCACAGGTTCATGGATATTTTTCATGTAAAACAAAAAATTTTTAAATCAACTTTTTAACATCACATTTGAATTTTTTTTCAGAAAATTTTAAGATAAGGACTCTTTTACCCAGATTCCATAGACTACTTGATACTTTCCATTTTGTTTCTCTTTGCCCATGAGTTTGGAGAAGTATGAAGAAATAGACAAAATTCTATTTTTTTTTTCTGTTTTGTTTTATCTTGTTTATGAAGTAGGAGCAGAGAAATTTCCTCATTATTCAAATAGGACATTTTTATTATTTAGAGAGAAGGGAAGTTGACCAGTTTACCTCTGACAGGAGGGACTTTGCCATCCATTGCCAAGTTTTCTGTGCCCTCAGACTGGTATGATGTAAAGGATTTTCCCAACTTATGCTGGGTTCCTGAAAAGGCATATAAACAAGACCATTTGTTTGGTCTCAAGACAACTCACATTTGCAAACTGAGTAATGATCTCATGGAAGTTCCATAGTGACATACCCATCTGCAGACTGGCTCAGCCCCTAGTCAAAAACCAGTCCCGATGAGATCCAGGAAGCTGAAGGCTTTCAATAGGTCAGATGATCCTGCATCTAATTTGGCACAGAGAAGTTTGGGTTACATATATGTAACCCTCTTTATACTTTCAACTTGAACGGTCCATAACAAATTGGGGAAACGTGTATGTATTCAGGGGTGACACAGAAACCTGATATGACTGTGATTCAACTGAAATCACTTCTTTACCCCAGGGTCTACCTTGTTATTGCAATGAGCAGTCCTTCCCTAAGATTGGAAGATGGGCGGTGCTTCATTGAATACATGAGGGCTTCAGTTCTTCTGAACATGTAGTACTATAAACCAAATTTGAGCTATTTAGGGACATTGAACACTGGGCAAGTCAGACATTCAAATGCCACCTGGTTTTCATAGGAATTCATGTGCGTGATTCAGGGGTCCCAAACTCAAGTGCCTACAGGAGAGACAGGTAAAAACAGATTCAAGATGTGGACCAGATGAGCACCCACCCCAGCCGAGGGAGGAGCTGTTTGTTGATTCTTGCCCCTTAAGCCAGCTGTTCTGAATTTTCCAGAGAAACTAGAAATCAGAAGAGTATTGTAAAGCTTTCCTAATTGAAGAAAATATTGGCAACTAGTTCCATTTTTTTTTAAGCTGTGAGCCAAATAGAAGAAGTCTAGGAGCTGGACTTTGAAAAGCATTCCCTGGGTACATTTCACCATTTCCTAAGAAATGAGCTATGGTTCTGCAGATGTCCCCAAAATGACAACCCCAAAACCAACCCATCCTCTTTAGAAGCCTGCCCTGAATAGCAGGGCTTCTTGGGCAGTCACAGCGATCATTGTAATTGTTGCTTCTAAAATGGACAGTTTCCTCCTGCTAGAGATTTGGTGTTACAGTGTCAGCCTACGAGGTAGCCGTCACTTCATAACATGTCTTCCTTCAGGCCTGACGGAATCGGAACTGTGACTGTTGAAGAAAAGGAACGCTTTGAAGAAATCAAAGAGAGACTCCGAGTTTTGCTGGAAAATCAGATTACGCACTTTAGGTAAGGATCTGGGCTTGGACTGATAAGGAGGGTGAAACTGGGGAAGCTCGGTTCCCCTAAACCGTCAATCTGTCAGCGATACGTCGCATCTCTCAAAATAACTGAATGTGGAAAACCAGCCATTGAACATGGTTCGGCAGTAGCTAGCCGATTTCCAATTAAGTTCATTTTCTTTCTACTCAAAGAAAGAAGCCTTCCTTTTAGGAGATGACATTGGTCATCAGTCTATTATTAAAAGTTGAATTTGAAGCTTCTTTAAGTTCCTGATTAAAAGAGTTAAAAAAAATCAGTGAATCATAATACTTGGGGGTTGGGGGGTGCAGTTCCCAGAAGTTTCTGCCTTGCCCACACTCCCAAAAGTAGGATGAGCTGGCTCTGCAGAGCAAGAGAGAGATTTGGATTCACCTGGGAGACCAGGTATCCCACACACACTGCAGAAAGATCCAGTACAGGATGTTTCCACCACAAAGCCCATTTCTCCCTTGGAGCAAATTGGGCATTTCCAATGCTCTGCAAGTGCTTCTGGGCCAGAGATCTTGAAATAGAAAGAGTATATGTAATTTTTCCTATTTATTAAACACTTCCCATGTGCCAGTCACAGAAATCTATTAGCTTATGTTTTTAATTGGGAAGGACTTTATAAGGTAGTTTGTATAGAATGAGAGCAGGAGAGGTTAAAGAACTTGACCGAAGCCACCCAGGACAGTGTGAGTTGAAGCCACCCATGCCACTTTCGGTATGAAGAGCAGTGGTTTAAAGAGCTCATGACAGCCTGACATAGCTCTTGGGGCTTGTAGGGCTACCTGACATATTTCTATCTGCCACCAAAGACCTCTGCTTGAGGGAGCAAGATTTTGGTGCAGGATCCTTTGTTGATCACAGAGGACAGTAAAATGCATGACCTACAGCCAAAGGTCCAATAAGAAGGAGAAACCTCAAGAAAGCAAAAAGTCAGGAATTCACTCTGAGCTCCCTCTTCTATTTCACGCATTATGCTTGGGGGATTTAATGTGTCTTTGAACTTCAGCCTGTTTCAACAAATTTTTGTAAGTGCCCACCTCTATAATAATAAGGGTCACCTTCGAGCAAACTAATGGTTTTGCTTCACAATAGAAATCTTAAACACAGCCTTATGTCATCACTTTAAATATTCTTTTTTGCCGCAGACATTTGCAGAGTGCCTCTTTAGTCATTATTCACACATACACATATATACATTATATACACACATATATGGTGTGAATTCAGATTAACATAACACAATGTGACAAAATAAAAAGCATTTTCCGTTCCTCGGAGAGAGTTGCTATAGGAATCAAATCGCAGCATATTTCCTGCTAAAATGTAATCGATCTGGGCAACCTGAAGAATTTTGTGTCTTTTTTAGGTATTGCTTTCCATTTGGTCGGCCCGAAGGTGCTTTAAAAGCTACTCTCTCGCTCCTGGAAAGGGTAAGAACGAAAGTGAAAGACTGATAAGGAGACTTACACCAAATGGTAACGAAATAGTGTTGTTGAATGACCCACTTTGTCATTTCCAAAGGATTTCTTTACCGTTCATCAAACATCAGAATAAAAATGAGGAAACTGCCAAGTTGCTAGAAATTTTATCTCCGGACCCCCAAATAGTTAGGATAAGTTGAAAAGATGTTCCTGCCCTTCCCTGATGGGTGGGTGGGCTTTGGCCTCCTAACTGTGCATTACCATTCTATGTTTTTGTGTTGTTGTTTTTAGTTGTTGGTACTGGAGATTGAACCCAGGGGCGCTTTACCATTGGCTACATCCCTAGCCCTTTCCTTCTTTCTTTCTCTCCTTAATTATTGAGACAGGATCTCACTAAGTTGCTAAGGCTGGCCTCAAACTTGAGATCTTCCTGCCTCAGCCTCCCATGTTGCTGGGGTTACAGGCATGCCACAGTATTTTCTCTTTAACCACATATCTCCATCATTGCTCAATAACCAGGAGGGAATCACAACTAATTTTAAACCCCAAACCTTGGAACAGGGAGTAAGGAGTAAGCCTGGTTCAAACCTTCTCAATAACCCCTTTTCTTTCTGCCTAAAGGTTTTGATGAAAGACATTGTTACCCCAGTGCCACAAGAGGAGGTAAAAACGGTCATCCGTAAATGTCTAGAGCAGGCCGCTCTAGTCAACTACTCGCGCCTCTCTGAATATGCCAAAATTGAAGGTAAGGTTCCCTTCTGTCCCCAGTTTTGAATTTAATTATACAATGGCTCCCTGGGAAATGTTTTTTTACCCCCTATGGGCACCAGAAAACAGTGGTCCATCTGAGTACGTTAAGCTGAAACCTGAAAGCACCTGAAATCTAGAAGCTTCTTGGCTGTGGTCCAATAAATAAATAAGAGGCTCAGGAGCCAGCCTTTGTGGGGAAGACTAGTGAATGGAGATGTGATAATATAACTAAGGTCCTTATAAGAGATCGCATTGGCCCTAAATGTCTGTTCTACTGCTAATATTCTCCTAGGAAAGGATTTGGTTAGATGGCTGCCTGCCTTTCCTTCTTTAAACACAGGGAAAAGGAGCACTCTCTTATCTCCTGCTGATAGTATTAGAAAAACAAAACAAAAAAAAGCTGAATAATGTAATGTCAAGGTTTAGCCTTAAGCCTTCCTTCCCCTTGAAAGTATCTTCTCCGAGCTGGGCACAGTGGCACATGCCTGTAATCCCAGCAGCTGAGGAGGCTGAGGCAGGAGGATCACAAGTTCAAAGCCAGCCTCAGCAACTTAGAGAGGCCCTGAGCAACATAGTGAGACCCTGTCTCAAAATAAAAAATGAAAAGGGCTGGGGATGTGGCTCAGTGGTAAAGTGCCCCTAGGTTCAATCTCTGGTACTAAAAAAAAAAAAAAAAAAAAAAAAGGAGGAAAAAAAGAAAGTATCTTATCCTTTGAGAGCTTTTGAACTTGATGGCAGGTTGGCATGGAGCCCTAGATGACTCAGGTTAGCTTTAGATCTCATTCATTGCTACTAAAGACCTGAGATGATTGCTACCACTGCCCTCTCAAGTTTTAGGAAAGTGGTCACTGATGATCCTATAATCACCCAAAAGGCACTTTGAGTAAACTCGAGTTGAGAAAGGTAATGGTTCTCTGGGACCTATTTCTTCGCAGAGGTATTAATCACTTTTCATTGTTACCCCGTTGGCTGCTATAGGGTGATTTGAAAACCACACCCAACTTGACCAGTGGTGTAAGTGTATAAATGTGGGAGTTTTGTGTGCAAAACTTGATGTGTCCGCATTCTGGAATCTGATGTTCTGTCACACACGAAACACATGACACCTGACCAAGTCCAGCAAAGGCACGTTGCCTACCTCAGGACACGACTGGGGAAGAAAATAAAATTTTAAAAAGAGAAAGAAACTAACCTACCACCCAGACCCTACCACTTTACCCTGCCAAAGTCCTTGTTTCCTTAGAGAATTAGGTCAAGATCATGTCAAATTTGCAGCATTCTGTACATCACATATTCTCCCTCTCTCAATTTTGTCTGTCTGATGATGCAAATTGTGTACCAGTGGTAATGAATTCATTGTTATGCATCCAAGGAGAAACACTTAAGAATTGGGCACTAAAAGGATGTTTATCAACTCTTGACTTGGTAATGAGTGATAAAAATAGATGAACAAGAAGATTGATCATGAAAGGGCTATATTAGCAGATAATTGTTCCAGCATTGACCGTCCCAGGACATAATGATTGCAACCAATGATTGCATTTGGTCAAGTGAACCAGGTACTGAATTATTCTAGGCAAGGACAGAGATGGGATGGGATCAGAAAACATTTGGTCACCGTGGCTGCTCCCTCGTAGATCTTGGTCTAGCGATTACTTAGTCTTTTGGTAAGATCTGCTCTCTTCTTTCAGATAAATAAATCCAAAAAACAAACTTTAAGATCTGTAAGTAAAAATGCATTCATTTCCAAAGTAGATCAGCTGGTCTGTAATTTCCTTTTGTGCCTCAATTCTTCTCGGTTGTGTTAATTATCTTTTGCACTGTGACTTTTAGGTCTGGGGATTCTTTGAAGAAACCAATCCTTTTTTTCCAACTCTCTTTTCAGAGAAGTACCTCATTCCACACTACCCGCTCTCTTCTGCTTCTCTCCTTCCTTGTCCGTGATTGGCTCAGCCACTTTTTGACGTGACCTCTGCAAAAGTGGCTGAGACCCCAATTTCAAAGCATGCTGGGATTGTTAATTCAGACAACCCAACATCCTCTGGCTGCATGTATCAGGTTTTCTTTCATGAACATAGTCCACCCTGGGCTGGGACATTGCAGCTTCAAAGATATTACTACCAGACAGCTTTCTTTCACAAGGTTCTGATCCTACCCTCAGAAAAGAAATCTTCCATTTTTTTGCATTTGAGCTCCCTCTGTGAGCATGAACAGCTTAGTGCCCTGCGAATTCTGGAAAGAAGTTGTAGTAATATTGCTGGCGACTATGTTTATGAAGAAATACCTCAAAGAGCCTTAGATACTAAAGTCTTAAATCCTTAGTATCTTGGAGCCGTAAATCAATGAGATTCTGTTTCCCCTTGACTCATGATGTTTTTTGGTCATTGTATTCTTGCCAACAACTCTAAAGAGACGTGTAAGATCATGGTCACAATCTCTCTCGTGACTCACGGCATGCTGAATGGTTAATCCAGTAGATTACCAATTTTTGAAACTCCTTTTTTTCTTTTATCCTGTGTTGATCCCAAAATACTCTGTGGCTATTTTCCTTTGAGCTAATGTAACGTTTTCCTCTAACCTGTGACCTTTGACCTCTTTACCTCTGACCTAAGCCTCTTGCATGCCCAAATCCTCTTTTATAGGGAAAAAGAGAGAAATGTATGAGCATCCTGTCTTCTGCTTGGCCTCCCAAGTGATGGATTTAACCATTCGTGAGTACCTACCACCTCCTCACCACGCTTTCCTTCACTCTTTTCTGTTTTCATTATTTCAAGAAAAATCCAGGTCCAAACCAACTCACTCTCCTTGCTTCAAGTTTTTTAGCATTGGCTTGTCTGTTGGTTCTGTCTGTGAAACCCAGTGTGAGAAGTCCAGTCACTTTTTTATCAACCTAAAACAGGTTAGACAATTAAGCCATTTGTTTGTGATAAACTCAAACTCGTCTGTAAGTTTTTCAGTTCTTCTCTGTCTGTGACCTGAATGCATTTTTACTTTGCTTGTGTGTGACCCTAATCTGTAAAGTGCTTGTCACTGGTACACAATCCAAAGGAAGCAGCTAGGCTGGGGGAGCAACGCATTAGGTGTCAGATGAAGGACATTTGGGGCAAAGGAATGCCTCCTTCTCCATGTTGGAGAGGTCAAACTACTGTGGGTACGAGATCACGTGAGGTGGTCCACTCTCTGTAAAAAATGAGATCTCATTTGCCTCCCCTCTGTTCTCTCTCAAGCTGGGAAGCTTTCCCTTGTTCTCTCTGGAGGGTTTGACTTGTCCTTTGTCCTCGAAGCTCTGGCTAGAACATATGACTTAATTGTCATTTGGAGAGTTCATGTATGTTTCATAGCTTGATTTCACATTAAACTTAATTTGACTAATTTTCTATTTGTGCAGCATTTTCCACCTCTGTGAAGGAGCCTTTTTTTGCTGGCCCCCACACTTCGGGGCGGTGGGAACCCAAGGGCAACCTTTGCTTTCCAATACCATGTATCACACATAAGTTGGGGGGCATTGTGGTCCACTTGCTCATTAATCTTGCATATGTGTTCTTGTTTCTCTCTCTCTTCTCTCCTTGTTGTGCTCTCTCTTTCAAATAGAGAATCAAAAGGACGCAGGTGAACCAATTGTATATGCATTATCGATTATCAGGACTGTTGAGTTATATTCAGTTTTTGTTTCTGTTTTTGTTTTTTTAATAGCTCCTTAAGGTATGTACTCCCAGAGAGCCATGCGGAGTTGCAATTATACTTAAGGAGTTAATTTGTGCTGTCTAAATACATCTCATGCCCATTTGATGTTGACCTTTATAGAGCAGAATTTCCATAAAGGCATAAGCTTTGGAGGAAAGAATTCTGGTTTTGCTGCAGAGATTCATTTCATCTTTGGTTTCAGGATACAGTGATTTGGCCTCATGCGCGTTAAAAAAAAAAAAAGTTACTGAACCAAACGAATCTTCCTTTTTGCTTTTCATTCTCTCTCTCTCTCTCTCTCTCTCTCTCTCTCTCTCTCTCTCTCTCTCTCTTTTGTTTTTAGTTTTTGTTTTTGTTTTTGTTTTCTGTTTTCTGCCCTATGGAGAAGTTTGTGTTCTTCGATGAGTGTTTATTGGCCAAGACAGACGGAAGTTGTGTCCGTGTTGTATCTTGTATGTATTCTGTGATGACGTAGGAGAACAGGCAAATGGAGCAGGGGTCATTGCTGGAAGTTTCCCAGAGGGGTGGCTCCTAGGAAGTCCTCTGGCTTCGAAAGTTTTCTTCTTGTTTGGTCCCCAAACTTCTGAGCCTATTTTGAGAGGAGCTCTGGCTAAAAATGTTCATAAATCTATAATATTAGTCATTATTTTTAAGACCTAAGAGTCTCAAAAAATAATAATTGTCATATCTAGAGTTAACAGTTGAGCTTATTTCTGGACAATTCAGAGAGCATTTTTGAGCCAAGCCTTAGTTTAGCAGTAAATATTAGAAGACTCACAAAACTATGTTCAAGACACATGAGCCTGCCCCCCCCCTCTCAGGAAAGGCATTCATTCATTCATTCATTCACTGGACAAATGTTTAGTGAGAGCCCAACTTGACCCTGTTGTTCAAAGCCAGGTACTATGTAAACAAGAGGGAGACAGCTGTTAGCCTCATGGAACATATGTGCATGTGTGTAATTGACAAATTCAGTACACTGAAATACCTGTTGGTTGAGTGTGTGTGCAAGAGTTGGGGTGCTGTCAGAAAACCACAGAAGTCTTCATAAGGTGATAAGGCTTGAATTTCATCTTGGCAGAGATGAATCAGAATCAGTTCAGGGGAGCTGGAATTGAAGATTGGGAAGGCATTCTTGATAGAGAAAAATCTGCAAATAAGTAAAACCATATTGCTAATCAAAAAAAAAAAAACTAAGGCTTACTTAATGCTTATCATACTCCTCACATGATTCTACATGCTTTGTCTGTGTTAACACATTTAATCCTCAGAACCCCTTGTGGGAGACAGGATGTTGTTGCTCCCGTTTTACAGATGAGCAGACTGAGGCACAGAGAACTTGAACATGCACTTCTGGAAACATAAGTGGTAGAACCAGAATCTGAGCCCAGCAGAAGCACACTCTTGACTACTCTGTAATTGAACATTCTGCAAATCAAAGTAGATGGTGGCAGTGGCAGATGTTGATGGCAAAGGTAGGCATGGGGGCAATATCTCAAAGGCCTTCATATGCCATAATGAGACAGAGCTCTGACTGTATCTCATGGTCCAAAGGTTTTCAACCTGAAATCTAAGCCCACTTTTGCATGCATAGGATTTTTTCAGAGGAATGATTTCCCAGGTCTCACCCCTCCCCCAAAGTGGCAGAGAGCCACCAGAGGTTCCCTAAGCAAGAGATAGCTTGGTGGTTTGCACTCCAGAAAAATCACACTAGTAGCAATGGGGAGAAACAACTGAAGTGCAGGAATAGAGGAAAACTGAATCTACAACATAAGGTCAAAACAGAGATGGGTTTAAGGCTTGGGACATTGAAGCTCTTCTAAATATCCCAGGTCTTTGTCACAATTACAGTCATAGTTTCTTTGCTGACCTTTACATTTTTTGTTATTTTCTTCCTCCTCTCTTTTCAATGTCCTCCGGGAGTAGAGCACCAAAATCTGGGTGGGTATGGAGGTAGCAGGACACTGCCAGAGTTCCAAATTGGGTGAGCTGGAATGCGGGGACTAGAATGTGGTGGCCCCTGAGTCCTTTAGTCAGGCGGAGCTTGAGAAGCAACAGAATCTGCAGGTGACTCTTTGGTGGACTTGGGTGTTCTAGCTGGTGGCATTATTAGAAATTAAGAGTTTAATCACAGTATCTCAAAGAGGGGAAAGCTGCAAAGGATTGCTAGTATGTGAAAGAAAACCTGTGACTCCTGCAAATGAATTCTATTATTTTAAATACATATCCACTGAAACTGTCACATGTTCCCCACCAAGCAGGCTCTAAGAAAGTCGACACTACTATTGCTGTTTTGCCTCAATTCTTGGCTAAATACTTGCATAATTTTCTGAGCATCATAACGATTCCACTGGAATTTGAAATAAAGCAACTTTTTCCTTCGAACATGCCAAGGATTTCCAAAATTGGACAGAGATGACTTACAGAGATAGATATATGATAGAGATAGAAGTAGGTGGGTGGGTAGATGGATAGATGGGTATATACAAACAGAGATATATAGCTAGATAAGTAGGTGGATGGGTACATGGATGAGTGAATGGTGGGTGGATGGACGGTGGGCAGACGGGTACTTGGATGAATGGACAGAGGGATGGATGGATGGATGAATGGATAGATGGATGGATGGACAGATGGATAAATAGTCATCCCATCTCAGGCCCAGGCACTGTGCTAAGGACTTTACATGGAGGATCTGATTGGATCTTCCTTTACCTTATTCCCATGAAGAAGACTTCATTATTGCTCCACATACACATGAGGGAGCTGAGATTCAGGAAGGTAAGTGAGTTTTTCAAGCAGAATTTGACTCAGATCTGACTAAATGCAAGCACCATAGTTTTTGTCTCTTTCTGTCACTCAGATTTTCTAGCTGAAATGGTAGACACTTCAATAATATTCATTCATTCAGTAAATAAGTCCAAAAGTACATACAACCTGTCACATAGGAAGACTACAAAATAATAAAACCATCCCTTTGGGGCCAAATTTGTTTTCATCCTAAAGCCTTCCTGAGGGCAGTTGAGATTCCTGAAGATTGCCGAAGAACAAGGGACTTTTTTCTTGTCCAGTTGATAGAAACTTTGTAGAGTGAGTCATATCCATCCAGAGAACTTCCAAGCAGATTCTGTGGTGTGGAGGTTCTGTTTCTTTTCCTATATCAAAGCAAATGTCCCACAAGTCTAAGGCCTGTTCATACAGAGAAAGGACCAAGTCCACAATTCCCACTAGCCCACAATCCAAAGCCATCACTCTGCTTTCTTCCCAAGGGACCAGCGAGGGATAAGCCCAAGCCTGCAAGATCCGGGCAGTTCTTGGAGGAGGACAGCCCATGCTTCAGGTCTTATACAGGAGGAGTTAAATGTTTCTCTTTTCACCCTTTTTGTTTCAGTGATGCATGCATAAGCGTTTCCAAGCTCAAATTATTCTGTTCACTAGCACCTTATTTATACTTTACAAAAAGTGAGGGGGGCAAAGAGAAACATATTTCAAAACCGTCATCAAGAAGGATCCTCAAGGAAGAGAATTTGTTGTCTCTCAACAAATGTGAAGCCAGGATACAAGGAGCAAAAGCAGTCATGATCTCTGCCCTTATGGAACTAATGTAAAAGTAGGCATAAAATAAGCAAATGTGATGATTATGGCAAAAGGGATGCAAGATGCCAAAGGAATGCAGTGCAAGAGGAGTATGCCCAGGCCAGTGTCTTTGATGTATTGCATATTGGGGGCTAGTGCCAAAGGAGGACATCATGAAGGTCAAGGGCTAAGCCCCCAATAACTGGCAAGAGTTTTTTCTGACTATGTTGCTTGTTTGCTTATATTAACTATCCCTCCAGATGCTCTAAGATCCTGTCCAAGAGAGCAAATGGCTAAGTACATGAATGATTACTAGGGATTGAACAGATCCTTTTTTTCAATTTTATTTATTTATTTATTCATTCATTCATTTATTTTGCAGTTGTAGATGGACAGCATCCCTTTATTTTGTTTATTTGTTTGTTTGTTTTTATGCAATGTTAAGGATCAAACCCAGTACCTCACACATGCTAGGCAAGCCCTCTACCACTGAGCTATAGCCCCAGCCCTGAATGGATCCTTAAGAGTGCTATTAAATCAGTATTCTTGCTATAGCGAGTGACCATAAAGAAAAACTCAAATAACTTAAGCAAGCAAAAGGCATATTTTTAGCTAGGAATTTCAAGGAGGAATGGGACTCAAGAATGAAGAAGTTTAGTTTGTTTTCATATCTCCAACTGCTAAAGGCTTCTTTAACATGACTCGATGTAATACAAGTGTTTGAGCAGTAACATGGCCACAGTTATCCTCAGACTTTTATCCAAGTTAATGACCCTAGAAGCAAAAGAGCTTTCTTCTCCTAGCAACTGTGTAAAATTCCAGAGAAGAGTCTCATTGGCCATCCTGGGTCACCTGAGAATATTATGAGCCAATCATAATATCTGATGATGGTGAGGGGGCACTCTGATTGGCTAGGCTAAGCTCACATGACTGCTTCTGTAAGATATGTTATTTGACTTTCCCACTAGAACTTTATGGGGTAGAGAAAAGGCTATTCCATGAGAAACTTTTCTGCATGGACAAGGACAACCGATCCATTACAGCATCCATCCAGAATTAGCTTAATTGTCTTAGGTGCAACAGCTTAGCCCACTGGACAAAGCCTAACTTTGAATACAAAAACACCAAATTGGAGAAGAAAACTATCACCCATAAGTGTCATTTTCCCCTTGTGGGTATTTTTTATTTGAATTTAAATAAAAATATTTGGGGTCTGGGGATGTAGCTTAGCATTAGAGCCACTTGCCAATAAATAAATTAAAAATTCTATATAAGAAATATTTTTTAATGGCATTAAGATACCTGAAGTTGCTCTCTGACTTGGAAGTTGCAGTTATGTTGATTTTTAC